CGGCTTCTTCTCTAGCTCCTAAATTCGTAGTTACGTTTTCATACGTTTTCACGAATCAACTTAACGGCCTGCTCCCAGTTGGCTTGTTAGCTCAATTGGTAGAGCGCTGCACTACAGTATCGCAGAGGTCAGTGGTTCGAATCCCGTACAGGCCTGATTTTTTTTCAGGTCTGATTTTCGCTATTGCATAAATAGCGCTCTCTACTGCGAGGATCGTGCATCATACGCATACGTACATACTAATGTTGCGTATTTCCTACTGGCCCGTTTATATATCAGTAGTTGCGCTATTTTCTCTAGCATTGATACCGCTATTCACCGAATAATTTGTATTCACAGCTATCGAGATAGAAAAACCAAACGCCTCCGAATGGTGAAATGTGAAATGTCACGAAATCACACTGCGTGATATTTTCATTCCTGCCATCACCCACACGATTAATTATTACACGGCCGTCTGTAATTACTGCGTTAGAGCCATTTATCGTTTATGGAAAATCTTCACGGCTTTGTTGTAAACACAAAGTTAAGTTTATGATTTAATAATTTTTTCGTTAACTTTGCCCCGTTTACCAGGGATAGACTTCTAGCGACCAAGAGCCGCGGTGACATTAGATCCAAGCCGGCTTTGATTACTAAAAACCCAGAGGAAGCTGTGCGTGGTGTTGAAATTATACCTTTTGTGCTGCCAGCATTTGCTCATCAGGCGTTTCTGGAGGAATATAGAGAATATCGTATAAGAGTGCGGTTTCTTACAAATTTTCCAGAGTAGCTGTTTACACACCCGTTGTAAGAAAGCGAATACAAGAGCGGAATAAAACAGTTTGATTGAGTTTAGTTCGCTAGAAGAATATAGAATTTCTGATTGGTTTTTACCCATTCGAACTTTGCCCTCTGCTTGTGGACAGAGTGACACAGTGCTAGTTTTTAGAGGGAATTGGCATCTGACGGGGTAAAGTCTCACGCAGCTAAAAGCGTTCTGGTCGAGGTAAACTTTTTTCAGTGGGATAGGCAAAATAGGCAACAACCAAGTAAGGATCCCACGTGCAAGCCTTTGAAGTTTGATACTTTGTTTTTGTTCAATACATTTCCACTTTTTCGGAGAACGGAGACCGAAAAATGTCTTTGGTTAGAGGCTATTTGAGATAATTTGTTTTCACCGCAAAATCATATGGAATAATGTTTTTGAGGTAACGAGCCGTAATTGAACAATTTTGATTTATTTATTTTTTCTGACGAAGGAACGTCAGAAAGCAAAGTTTTAGCCTGGGGGCAGGCCGTTGTTTGGTCTCGTCAAGCAAAACGAGCACAGGCTCAGCTAGTTACAAGGTATAAACATTGTTAAAGGAGTTCAAATGCCTCGTCCTTGTAATGATATCAATGTAAATGTTAATTCATTTCCGCTCTGTGTTACGTTACTAATGCCATGGTAACCGAGAGACCATGCTTTCCGCCTTTGCTTTTCAACCCGGGTTGTGTGTGTGTTGAATAAACAACACAGTCGTAAACTGTTTCTGCATTCTTGTTCTACATCCGAACAACCTTACAGTCCTGACTTTTGCGCGTTTTCTTGGTTTTTTTGTTTTTTTGTTTAGTTTTGGTTTTTTATGCGCCAGTGGCCATTCACACATGAATGAACCTATTTAACAAAACAGGATACCCCTCTCAAAATATCATGTCGAATGTATATACGTACTAAGACAATGATCGTCTGTCAAAATTCAAAGAGCCACGAACGTTAGTTCATTTGGTATCATCCATGCACGCGTCACATGCTTGGTAGCCAAATACACCATGCCCGAGTTCTAGGACTGTCTCTTTCAAAATGAAGCCAAGAGCGAAGGCTTTTTTGTACAAATAATTTATATTTGCAGGAGTGTATTTACCCTCGTTTTAAAAAAGAGGCTTTCTGTAGAAACAGAATGGCCTCGTTTTAAAGAGTGACGGCAGTACCTTGTGATTTATATGCAAAGCAGAAAACTTCCGCTTTTGAACTAAAGGGGGGTTGTGGTGTATCGCACGACGAGTGTTGCTTTTCTTTACACCCTGCGTTACTGACTTCGACTGATTACAAATCCTGAACTTCCCTTTTTATTGGGAGATTCTGCAGCTCTGGTTGAGTAAAAGTCGGACATACATCATCGCTAGTTGTGAAACCTGGGTAAGCGAATTTGCTTTCATGTTGGAATGTTGTGTAGATCGAGTTTAACTCGCCTTATGTGTATGTAAGTTTTCTTCATCAACCTCATAGACCACTTTCATAAAAGGCTGCCGGATTAATATCATTTTGTTTAAATTTAAATTAGCCCTTCTGGCCTCGCTTGAGATAATGTATCCTTTTGAAATTTGTCCTGGAGAAAAAGGCCAGAAGGGCTAATTGAAATTTAAACAAAAGAATATTAATCTGGCAGCCATTTATGAAAGTGGTCTATCTTCTGAGTATCCAGCCCGCCAAGCTGGCTAATCACCCTTCTTCCCTCCCCTCCATCCATCCATCTGTCTGTTCGTTTATCCACTCCTCTCTCACTTAAACCATCCCCCCTTCTTCCCTCCCCTTCCCCCATCTCCCTGAATCTATCAGTCCTTGCCTCCCTTCCTAAATTCACCCTTATGCTTCTTCCCTTCCCCTGTCTATCCACCCCTTTCTTCCTGTCCCCTCACTTCCGGCCCCTCACTTCCTGTTCCCTCACTTCCTGTCCCCTAACTTCCTGTCCTCTCACTTCCTGTCCCCTCACTACCTGTCCCCTCACTTCCTGTCCCCTCACTTCCTGACCACTCACTTCCTGTCCCCTCACTTCCTGTCCCCTCACTTCCTTTCCCCTTACTTCCTGTCCCCTCACTTCCTGTCCCCTCACTTCCTGTCCCCTCACTTCCTGTCCCCTGACTCCTGTCTTTGATGTCTAAAAAGGATAGAGAATTGTCAGAAATTTCCCAGGTATATTTCAGGGCCGGGTGAAAAGAATTGACTGCGGTTATCAATTGAGTGAATGTAATCTATTGCATAACTTGCACTTATTGCAAAAAGATATACATCGCCGAAACAGGCAGAAGACTAGGTGAACGATTCCGAGAACACCTTCGAGACGTGGAAAAGAATGACAAGGACACATCGAAACCAGTCGCTAGACATTTTAATTTACCCAATCATTCTAAGCAACATATGGCAATCTGCGGTCTTTCCTTACACTTAGGTAGCACGGAAAGCCGTAAAACTCTTGAACAAAAGCTCATCTTTCAAACCGGCAGTCTAAATCCCACAGGGATCAAC